CTAGTTCTTACAGATGAGACTCTGAGCCATTCAGCCCATTGGAGCGATGAGTCAACCGGAGGGTCACATCTCCCCCCTATATGCACCAATCTTCCACACTCAAAACAGAAGTGCGGTATTTTCTCGTAATGAAAGTCAAACCAGGTGCGAGCCTTGTCCTCCCGTGAGGTCTTAAGATAGAAACCTCTGACTAGCGGTTCATAAACTGAATTTTTTGCCCGAACCCTTAGCTCGTTTCCTCTTGCACGGCCATCCTTGTCCACATCCACCCTCACCACCTCACCCAACCAATTACCCAGGCCCTTCCCAAGAGCTTCTGTCCTCTTGTCCGATGGAAGATCGGTGACCCTTACCCATACATCTATCCTGTCAAAAATCATCTCAGAGGGCCTTTTGTCACCTTCATACTCCTTCATAATCAAAACATTAAAATCGTACTGCCATGGCCTGTTGTTCATAGCATGACGCCAATCCCCTTCACAGCCAAATTGTACCTCGAACACATTCGAGCCCAGCTCTCTGAACTTTGCTTCTTTGTGCAGTCCCCAGGCCCTGTGCATAGTCTTCTCCAAAACACTCCTCACCAGCGGTCTCGAGGAGCATAATTTGCCTACTGCCAGCCATCTAGGGGTTTTGGCCACTGGTTCATCCTCTGCAAAAACAAAGCCTTCCGCTTCCTTATCCAACAATACCATCCCTCCCAATCTAGCCGAAAGACTCGACGTAGGATCCGGGGTCCTGCTTTCAATTGGGGATTTAGATGCATCCCTGCTCACCATGCCACCCGATCTGCGCGTCACTGGTGTGGTTGTCTCCTCCACTGCCACCGCCGCGGCCGTGGGCGGGGCTCCCTTCTTCGTCAAGTTCGTCGATCCCCCTGCTCCTACCAGTGGAACAGGTGCCCTCTTTGGAGTAGCCGCCACCGTCGAGGCAGCAAAATCAAAATATAGTTTGATGGACGATTCGGGATGGTTTCGGCATTGTTCCATGGCACCACCTCCAGAAATATAATACAATTTATATATACCATATCTATACCTACTATTAAAGGGAGTAGGTATTCTTGTTTGGTTTCGCTTTGTTTCGTCCCGTTTAGGTGATTTTTTTTCTTTTTGGTTTCATCCGATCTAGATGATTTATATTATCTGAGATGATACTAAAATTCCGTCTGGAACCTTAAAAAGGAGTGCTCCTAGCTAACGCTCCGGTGCGTCAAACACGGGAGCTCCTAACGGGCGCCTTCTGCGCCGGTTACCGTACCTGGCGCCTACAGGGAAGTTTAGTGGGCTGCTCATTTGAAGCCCAGTCGGAAGCTAAACCTTGAATAGAATTCAAAAAAAAATACGATCCCGCTAGGAATCGAACTCGCACCCTTGGATATCTACAGTGGGTCGGCTAACCGCTACGCCATGTACTTGATAGTGATCGAATGCAGCTCGAACCTAGCCATATATGCGTTTCTTTTTAAAAAAATTGAAACTTCACAGTTTTCGAAAAAAAGTTCGTGGACATGCAAAAAACGTTGCCCTGTTCAAGGAAAGTTCATTGAATTTGTAAAACGTTCATCTTTTTTTATAAAAAAAATAGTTCACAGGAAATGAAAAAGTTCATGAAAAAATTGAAACAAATTCATCAATATTTTATTGCACAAAACTACCGCGCTATTTTATTGCACAAAACTGTACCAATTAATATTTTATGAATTATTCGACAAAAAAAATCATGAATTTGAAAAGGTTCATAGATTTCGAACAAAGTTCATCAATTTTCAAGAAAACTTCACAAACTTGAAAAAAAAAATTATCATTTTTCTAACAAAAAGTTCATCAAATTTGAAAAAAGTTCATCAAAATTGAAAAAAGTTCATGGATTTTCAAAAGTAGTTCATCAATTTTCAAGAAAAGTTCACAAACTTGAAAAAAGTTCATCAATTTTCAAACAAAAAGTTCATCAGTTTTGAATTTTTTTATCGAATTTCAAAAAGTTCATTGAAATTGAAAAAGTTCACGGATTTTCAAAAACAAAATCATCAATTTTCTAGAAAAGTTCACAAATGTTTTAAAAAAGTTCATCAAATTTGAAAAAAGTTCATGAATTTTCAAAGAAAGTTCATTGATTTTTTAAAAAGTTCACTGAATTTGAAAAACAAGTTCATGATTTTTTAAGAAAAGTTCACAAAATTTGAAAACAGGCCATGCATTTTAGAAAAACGACCGTATTTTGTAGAAAAAGTTCACCGACTTACAATCACGCATATAAAACAGAAAAAAGAAAAAACAGAAAACGAAAAATGAGAAAAAAAAAGGAAAAAAAGAAAAAGGGAAAAGGGAAAAGAAAGAATAAGAAATGTAGAAAGTTCATTCCTAACGGAACCCACACGGTTGGCTTGGTGGTTGGTCATGTAATTTGCACGGGGAGGTCGCGGGTTCGATTCCAGTCAGGCGCAATACGCTCTGAATTTTTCTCTTTTTAAAACACAGAAGAAAAAACTTAGATGGGCCGGCCCAGCTGACGCGCCTGCAGGCACCGGTTTGCAGAAACAACAGTAACCGGCGCCTGCAGCGCCAAAAAGGAAATGCCGTCAAACACAGGACTTCCTCTCCTGTAGGCAAAGCAGCAAACCAACTCAGCTAGCATTCAATTGTGCTACAAAACAGGGTACATTACTTAATTGTCCTAATGCAATTCTTTACCCCTAATGCACAATTTCTTTTTCTCCACGCTTGGCAAAGAAAAAAGCAATCTGTCCCGTTCCGCCTCCCCCCTCTATGCACGACTCCATCCTCTGCCTCGGGCTTTATATACTATTATTAGCTTAAAATAGATGATGTGTCTTCTTTTGTCAATAGTCCCACCTCGCTCACTTAAACCGATTATCAACTCACGGAGGTGCAGGAAAGAGGATAAGCAGACATATGTTTTGAAATAGACGGTGACGTAGACATTTGAGAGTTTTGATCCAGACGGAGAAGAGGATAAGCAGCAATACGAGTTTCACTTCGTATTCAAATAGATCATGTGGACCTTTGTGAGTTTTGAGTCATACTTACTGGATTGGGAGTATGATATTTTTTTCCGTTGCAACGCACGGGCATATGTGCTAGTACAATGTAAAATCCGGACGGTTTCGGCATGGTTCCATGCCCCCCCCCCCTCCAGAAATATAATACAATTTATAGCATACAATGTAAAACCATGGCACCCGCAATTTTAAGATCCTAAATCCACCACTCATCAAATTGACTGAATTTCATTACAATTCTGTTAGAAATAATACTATGGTTATCCCCCTCCCAAAAAAAAACTATGGTTTTCAAGAAATAAAACACTGTTATGTATCAAATAAAACTACTGAAGAGATATCACGGTGCTTTCCCTGGTTATACTCTTACATTGTACTTAACAGTTTCGGGCGGGCTTAAGGGGTTCCGAATAGGTTTCGTCTTCATGTCATAGTTGGAACTGGAATCAGGAGCAGCAACGGATTGTGTCCCACGTACCAAACTACCAATCTGGCCCGTAACCGTCTTATATAATGCAGGAGGGGATCCTAGGTCAATCTCGCTTCCAAGTTTATTCCAGTCGTAACGACTCTACCGCCGTTGTTCCTCCAGGAGCCGTACATCGTGATCGATATTTCCAATCCCCACGTACGAGCCGCCGCCCCGACATCCAGACCCTCTCCGACCCGGCCGGCATAATGCTGCGCTGCTGCTTCGGCGCGTCGCCAACAAAAGCAGATCGTACTGCCTCAGGGAACTGCAATCTTTCTGCTGCTGCCGGTGGTGCTATCCTAATCGACGCCGAGGATTGGTCATACTCATACACGCTCAACATAGCCGGATACTCAAGAACCAAGGAGCTGCTCGAGACCGGCAAGTGCGCAAGATCTACGCCTTTCATTGTTGGAGGCCATGTTTGGGCCGTGCGTTATTACCCAAACGGTTACAAGGATGCTGCTGATTTCGCGTCTATTTTCCTAGTTCTTGTTGATTCTACGGGTGCCAAGGATGTGAAGGCGAAATGCACCTTCAGTGTGCTCGACAAGGCCGGGGTGCCAGTGCCTTCTTTCACCCGTACCTACACCTCCGCATGTACCTTCACAGGAAAAGGTTCCAGCTGGGGCTACCCCGAATTTATCAACAAGGCTGATTTCGAGGGATCGCCGCATCTCATAGACGATTGTTTCACCATCAGATGCGATGTCACCGTCTTGAAAGAGATCCGTACCGAGGAAATTACAAAGTGTAGTAAACAGTTTGTCGTGGTTCCTCGGAGCAACCTGTGCCAGCAACTCGCCGGCCTCCTAAACAGCATGGATGGTGCAGACGTCACCTTCCACGTTGGCGAGGAGAAGTTTTTAGCCCATAGGTCCGTGCTCGCTGCTCGGTCCTCCGTCTTCAAGGCGGAGCTCTTGGGCTCCATGATGGAGAATGCCGGCGATCCGGTTGAGATCAAGGATATGGAGAGCGACGTGTTCAAATCATTGCTGCATTTCATATACACGGACGACTCACCGTCTGAGATGGCATGTGAAGACGCGGTGATGGCTGGCCATTTACTCGTCGCGGCTGACAGGTATGATGTCGAGAGGCTGAAACTGATATGCGAGGAGAAGTTGTGCAAACACATTGACTCCAACACCGTGGCGACTAGCTTAGCTTTAGCTGAACAACATAGTTGCCCTGGACTAAAGGAAGCTTGCTTTGAGTTCCTTGCCTCTCCTTCCAATTTTGAGGCTATGGTGGCAAGTGATGGTTATGAGCATATCAAGAGCAGTTGCCCGTCCATTCTCAAGGAGTTGATTGCTAGATTCTTGCCCGCTGAGCTAAAAGCGGCAAAGGACATCATCATGAAATTCTAAGCACCCCACAGCGTGTGAATATGTAATCTAAATTTGGTAATTCAGTTTTTACTAGTCCTTGATGTATGGCTGAATATTCGCATGTCTAAATCTATACTTTAGTTATCTAACTTTGGCCGAGCAACATAGGTTCCATGCATTTCTTATTTATGCGAGCAATCATTTTTTAATGTATTACAGTCCCCAACTAACAATTATACATGTGCGTACCAATGGTGATAATAGGATGCATTGTGTTAGAGCATCTCCAACAGGCGCCGAACGCGCCGCGCGCTAAAAACTGATTTGGCGCGCGCCCATCACCTGGTTTGGTACGGCGCGCAGCGTTTGCTCTAGCAGCCGCGCTATAAAGGCACGCGCGCGCAGCTCCAACGGGCGCGGTAAAAATGCAGCGCGCGCGCTCATTCTAAACATTTTTTTGCATAGATAAAATAAAACAATACAAGATATTTTACATAGATAGATAGATAGTTCGACATACATAGATAGATAGTTCGGAGTTATTTACGCAAAACCACTACATTTGGGGCTAGGGTAACAACTTGGTACCACATTTGTGTCAGGGCACAAAAAACCACCAACTTTGTGCCTAATCTGTAACACGGAGCACTGATTATCCGACTTGCTCGCGAAAACAGGGAAACTGACAGTTTGGCCCCACCTGTCGGGCTGACGTGGCGAAGACCAAAAGCTTTGACCAGCTGATGTGGCAAAAAAACGTGGGTCCCACCTGTCAATGATTGTACCGTCATCTTCTTCACGTCTCTTTCTAAGGGGCATTCCGTCGAGCAGGTTCTGGGCGGCCGGAGTACGTTTGCGGTGTCGTGCCTCCGGTGACCACAATGGAGGCCACTATGGAGAGGAGACGTTCGGATCTGCCTATGCGTTTTTGCCTCGACGGGAGCCGCGGGGGCTGTCGCTTCGACAGCCCAACTGGCCGCCATGCCCAGTGCGCAAGGAGGCGTGGTAGGGCTGGAAAAAAGCTCGAAACTCGCGAGCTAAACAAGTAGCTCGTGACTCGGTTCGAATCGACTCGAACTTGAAGAATAACGAGTCGAGTCAAGCTTTAGTTTAAGATCGTTTATAGACCAAGTTAAACGAGTCAATCTCACGAGTACTCGTGTAACTCGTTAGGCTCGATACAATAAATCAACCACTCCCAATACAAAGAAAGATCATCCACTAAACAGCCTACATCCCAGGCGCACAACCCAAGTCGAGCAGTTGAAGGCCTAGCCTCCTAAGAGACTCTTGCGTTACAAAAAAATTACAATTGTTTAGTGATATATATGTTTATTATATACATAATCATTTTTATCATATTTGAGGGCTTTATATTTATATCTTAAATGAGTTTAACAAGCTAAGCGAGCTCAGCTCGCGAGTTATACGAGTCGAGCCAATCTCGGGGTTGAACTCGTTATAGTAACGAGTCGAGTCAAGCTAGCTCGTTAACGAAACGAGCTCTAGCGAGTCGAGCCGAGCTGGCTCGACTCGGCTCGAATTCCAGCCCTGAGGCGTGGGAGCCGTCGCGTCGCACAGCCCGGCGAGCCGCCATGGCCAGCGCGAGGAGCTACGCCACCAATGTGGCAACTGCGGGCTGGCGGAGGCCTGGTAGCGAGGAGCAGACACGCTCACAAACACCAGACGCGCGCGCACACACACATCAAGCTAGAGCACGCACGCACACAATCACACAGAGAGCTCACGTTGGCCGCCCAAATTGACGCGCGCTGACCATAGTAATCATGGCTAGACGTCCGAATCGAGGACCGGTGCGCTCCCATGGCAAAAGGCCTTGTCCATCCTGCCCAATTTCACCCGCTTGTCGATGCGGCCGGAGACCTGCGGAAGATGCGCCGCCGCTCGGCTCGCGAAGATCAGCGGGCCCAGATTCCTACGCGTCTGCTGCTCCCATGGCCGTAGAGATAGCAGCCACTTGCCCTCGGCTCCCGCGACCGGCTCTCGGATGCGCCGCCGCTCGCCGCCACACGGCCTCGCCTGTGCGGACAACGCCGGGATGTCAAGCAATCGTGGAGCCGGCGAGATGGCATACAGTAAAGCCGCGTCATAGAGGAAGGATGGGGAATGTGGGTCGATTTGGGAGGCAGCCGCTGTCGAGACCGCCGGAATACCTGCCGTCGGGAGAGTGAGATGAGAAGGAAGAAGAAGAAAATAGGAAAAAAAAATAAGATGAGAAGCTGACAGGTGGGACCCTTGTCCACATCAGCATATTGTCCACATAGGTACGCCAAGTCAGCCCACCAGGTGAGGCCAACCTGTCAGTTTCCCTGTTTTCACTAGCAAATCGGACAATTAGTGCTCCGCGTTACCGATTAGACGCAGAGTTGGTGGTTTTTTGTGCCCTGGCACAAATGTGGTATCAAGTGGTTACCCTAACCCCAAGTGTGGTGGTTTTACGTAAATAACTCAGATAGTTCGACATACATAGATAGATAGATACTACTACGGCATAGATAGATAGATAGAAACTACTACGGCATACATATATAGGAACTACTCCAAGTCGCTACCATCACCATCAACATCCTCGACGGGGTCGTCCGAGGTTGAGATTCATATGTCGTCCCAACGTTCGTCGTTCGCGGTGAAGAACGACCTCTCACCTACTGAAACTATGTCGCACTGCTCGTTCGCCAATGCCTTCCGCTGACGCCTTTCAGCCCGCTCCGTGCGGCGCCTTGCCGTCCTCTCCGCCCAGTAGGCCCGCTCGTCGGCGACGTCCTCCGGGTGGCGACGACGCCACTCCGCCATGGCTCGCTCGTCCTCCTCGGCGACGAGGAGGCGGCGCTGCCGCCGAGCATGGTCGGCACGGTCCATGTCGGTGATGAGACGCGGCGGAGGGGCGACGCGCTGCGCCTGCTCGCGCGTGAAGACGTCCCGGAAGTTCATCTGGGACCGGGGCCTGTCCAAGCGCCACGCCCTCGCGTGGTACGCGTGGGCCGCCTCTTGCACGCTCCGGAACGTCCTGAGGCCGAGCCGGACGTCGCCGGACCGTATCTCGGCGGAGTACCAGCCGTTGGGGCACTCACGAACGCCGCGATAGCCCGAAGCACCCCGGCGGCGCGGCGGCATGGTGGCGCGGAAAGCTGCAAAGCGGCGAGGCGGCGAGGTTGCGAGGGGAGGGCACGTGGCTGTGTGTTGTGCGCGTGGCGAGCGCGGCAATTTATAGGCGCGCGGTAAGCGGCGCGCCAAATCTACCGCGCCGCATGCCGCTTTCTCCCGCGCGCGCACAAACGCTTCCCGCGCGCGGTAAGTTCCCGCCATCGCTGGAGTGCGCGGAACCAGCCGGCGCGCGCTAAAACCAAACTTTACCGCGCGGGCGCGCCTTTTGTCGCGCCTGTTGGAGATGCTCTTATGTCACCTTGACCCAACATGCATTAGAAATTCTTGATCTGCCAGAAAAAAAACATCTTGGCCCTCATGGTGCATCGGTGATGATATAATGAATCTGATGTTGATGACATGACTGACATTGTAATCTCCATAAGCATTTCTAATTTGTTAACTATTGTTCTTTATCGTAAATTAACAAAGAAACCATTTCCCATTTGCATCCAAAGGGAAGTTCTGATTTCTGAAGCAATTTTGACACATTAAACAAAACAGATATTCAACTACTAATATACTGTGAAATTTAGCAATGGATATTAAATACGCAAATTACAGTTGAAAGCTTGGGTTCCGTACTGGGGCTTCTCAGGACAACAAAGTATATAACGGCGGCGATAACTGTTCTGATGATATGATCATTTCTGTACAAAAAATACTCTGCCACCATCGTTCGAAAGCAACCCGCAAAATTAACCGATGAAGCATGTATAAAGCAGTGCCTCTCCTCCACACTGCTAGTGCCTGAATTGACCTCTATTCCGTCAAGCTAGAGAAATTAGAAGAGGTAAAAAGATCAATCAACCACCCAAATTTTGGTGAGCTTCAGAAACAGAAGTAGCTTAATGAGCAATAGAATGTTAAACATAAGTTCTTCTCATGTTTTAGTCTCTATGGACTGCTAAAGATGGATGTCATGCCAATCTTGCATGTTGGAGCCTTGTTACTTTAGATTTAGAATTCAGATAGTGGCAGTTCTGCATAGGCACTGAAAATACTAATGTTGTTGTACACCTTTGATCATGCCAAAGCAAATATGCTCTTATTTGTGTATAAAGCTTTGAAGTTTACCATGCTACAGTTTGCTATTGCCAAAATAATGTCACATTGTAGCCATTAGCACTTTCAGAAAGGATGGTGTGGGCATTCAAACGTAATACTCTCAGGTAACAAAACATAAAGCTGAAACCAATGCCTCACAGGCGCGTCGAGTAGCGGAACAAGGGAATGTAATTGTAACTGACCCGCAATTATGCAGTGAAAAGGTAAAAAAAAAATTCTACACCATCACGTATTGGTATATATGAGACGATTTACATTCCTGTTCCATTATTACTGTTTATGTTGATGCAACAGTAAACCGAAAATGAATTGAACAAGGACAAAGAAAACAACCATCGATCTCATGGCATGGACATCGTTCATGGTGATGGTGCCGGAGCAGTATCACCTCCTGTGGCGACGGCGACGATGGGGCTACGCACGACATGCTTCTCCGATACCCAGCTCAAGGTTCCCTCCACGTAGAGCTCTTTGCCCAGGTCATGGCCGCTCATGGACACACTGAAGGGCTTCTTCTCTCCGGTTTTGGAGAACGACATCGTCTCCGGGACGACACGCACCCAGGGCCGGTCCTGAGATTTTAGGGGCCCGAGGCGAAACTAAATTTTGGGGCCCTTAATAATAATCAATACATGTATATATAAAAAATGTTTTTGGTGAACACTTGATATTTGTGTCATTGTGATCTTTTTTTTTGAAAAGGGGAAAGACCCCGGCCTCTACATCATCATGATGCACACATCCATTTTTATTAAAAGGAAATAAATAGGTTTGAAACGTACATAGTATCAACTAAAACGGCAGAATGGAAAAAAAAACACCATAAATAGTGGGTACAAACGAAAGATTACATGACTTAACCACATAATCTTCATTGTGATCTTATAAGTATCCCTATATATAGAAAATATATGAATGTCGTTATCTAAAGACATCCTTGGAAATAGGAGGGCATGCTAATTATCAAGGTTACTAGAACGATGGAGCATAGTTATATGGTTTCAGGTATAGAAGGTTCGAAGACAATGACTCCATGTATAGTGCTAAAAGAAATTTGATCAAAAAGCATAGTTGTTCTTGGACTGCTTAATGGTAAGATTATTATTCTATAAATAGCAGTGTCCAAGAAATTAAGATTAGAGGAGCAAATAAATTAAAATGATATTCAATATATTCTTCATAGATTAGAAATCAAATCTGCAACCGTGCAAAGTTACTCCTACTAGTTGTGCAAATTTATTGTACCATCCTATAATTCAACCCAAAACTACTCGTCACGATTTGCATCCAGAACATCATCCTGTTCTTAATCTATTTGAGATCTACACCATAAAATCCTTGTTCCCAAACTGTAGAAGCCTATCGGTCAGTGATACGTACCGCGGAAGACATTGACCTGGCAGACAACGCTCAGATCCACAAACTACACGCCGGTGCGCCGCCGGCTCCGACGCGCAGCTATGTATCTTTGGGTCTCCTCGAGCAAGCGTTAGGTTAACTGTGGCGATCTCATAGCTAGGCAAAAAGGGCAGCCCTGGTTCCTAGCCCCCGATCCTGATCGACGGTCCAGCTTTATTTAAGGGGATTAGACGCTCCAGATACATCAACGTAGCTATTACTACTTGGGCTAGGTGGAGCGACCCAGTACAGGCCCAACTACCTTGGGCATTCAGCGATTTTTTTTGCGTTCGCATTCAGCGATTGGAGAGGAATGAAAGCACTACGTGCGCTCGGCTGCACTGCGTGCGTACGCTACACGCTATACGTACGTACCTGGGAGGGGGCCCCTCGGTTGTGGGGGCCTGGGGCGGTCGCCCCTCCTGCCCCCCCTCAGGACCGGCCCTGCACGCACCATCAGAGACCTCGGCACGTCCACTTTTGCCTTGAATGTTGAATCTGCTGGCCCGACGTTTGTCACGGTCCGGTTCACGGTGAACTGCGCCAACGTCAGCGGCACGGTTATCGTCGGGTAATTCAGTTGCACGTCCTGGACCTTGGGCAGCTTCGCACAGGTCAAACTCGAGTTGCGCACTATGGTTGCTAGGCCGCTGTCACCAAGGAGCCAGCAGATGTAGCCAGCATAGTCAATGACGCTGAGGTCATACACCAAGCCAGGGTCGGCAGCTCTCGCCGGGTTTACATGGCCGGCACCTGTGTCGTACACGTCGGCCTTTCTATGTTGCTCGTCCAAGATTGAGCCGCCAGTACCGTTAATGATGTCTGATGTTGTCAGGATGGCAGACTTGATGGTGGCCGGTGACCAGTCAGGATGGATGCCTTTGATGAGCGCCGCGACACCACTGACATGTGACGTCGCCATGGATGTGCCTGATATGATGTTGAAAGGGCCCTGGCCATGGCCCGTTTTTTATGGCCAAGCAGCAAGGATGTTGAGGCCCGGTGCCAGTATGTCCGGCTTTAGGATGTTGGGGGCAAATGAGCTTGGTCCCCGGGAAGAAAACGAAGCCACGACTGGGGCAGGGCGGACGCCAAACTTTGTACCATTGTACGCAAGAGACGCCAAAGAGCTATTGTTCGTCGACACGATGTAAGCTATGAGGGCCTCGCCATCGGCCGCAGTCACTTGTACAACACTGGAGTTGTAATCTGTAACAATGGTGGTGTAGCCGCTGATTTCGTCATTGAACAACACCACGCCTGCCGCGCCAGCGCCCACGATGTTGCGGATTTCGGACAATTGAGCCCTCGACTTATTGTCCTTGCAAACAAGGATCTTACATGTGATGCTACTATCATAGTCATAATTGCAGTATCGCCATTCCTCGGAGTAAAGGAGAGAGTGCAACTCTGAGCTTGGATTCGCTATCTGGGTAAGTGCTTCTCCGTCAATGCTCTTCCCATTGCCGAGATGGATGTTGGCGCCAAAGCTCCGGTCCACGGAGCTAGCGGCGACCGTGAGCAACCAGGGTGCTTCGTTGGTGACAGAGCGTTGAGCCGGACCACTGTTGCCAGCGGCGCACACCACGAGGATGCCCTTGGACACGGCACTGAACGTGCCAATAGATATGGGGTCTTGATCAAAGCTAGCGCTTGTGCTGCTGCCAAGGGAGAGCGAGAGTACGTCCACCCCATCCTTGATGGCCTCTTCTAGGCCGGCCAGTATGGCAGATGACTTGCAGTCACGAGCAACACATACCTTATACATGGCAATGTGGGCGCTCGGGGCAATTCCGGCCGCAGTGCCAGTGCCCACACCATTGTATGATGCACCGGTTACGAAGTTTCCGGCGGCTGTGGATGAGGTGTGTGTTCCATGCCCCTCTTCGTCGTCAGAGTCATCACCCGCAATCAGTGACTTGGCACCAATAAGCTTGTTGTTGCACTGGGCCGCGTCGCACGAGCCCTTCCACCTTGTGGGTGGTGGTGGAACACCATGGTCGTTGAAGGAAGCGTGCGCCGCATAGATGCCGCTGTCGAGCAGCCCGATGATGACTCCCTTCCCGTAGTCAGCTTGGCTCCAGAACTCAGTGCCATTCCTTAGCCCAAGGAACTCTGGCGTGTGCGTGGTCATTAGCTGCAGAGTTTGGTCTAGGAATGCACGCACAAACCTGGCTTCTTGGACACCATGTCGAGTTCGGCATCAGTGAGCCTCACCGCGAAGCCATTGAACACCTTGGTGTAGGAGTAGAGAAGGCGTGACTTGATAGAGTCACCTGCCGACGAGCTCGACAAGAAAGACTCGTGCCACAGATGATGTGCGTCTTCGCCTGCATTCAAGGGTGGTGGCTGGACGAGCACGATGTAAGCACGATAAGCAGAGGATTTTGTGGCATTTTGGTGTATGCTTGTGGTAGCTGAATTGATATAGGACAGTGCGAGTGTAGGAAAGAGGGTGGCGAGCAAGAAAAGTTGTACTGAGAGATCTGTAAATGACGCCATTTCTTAGGCGACACACAGGTACACACAGGGAAGATGATGGGAATGCTGGAATAGGATCGATACCAGTAAATCTTTATATGGCACAAACAATTAATGTGTTGTGTCTTATTTTTGGCATGTATTAGTCAATTGATAAATCCAGCGCATGTGGTAACACATAAATGACTTCAATTTCTGCTGAATATGGATGGCATAATAAGGTTATGTGGGATTGCAGGAACGTGGGTAATGTACTCTCTCCGTCCGAAAATACTTGTCATCAAAATGAATAAAAGGGGATGTATCTAGATGTATTTTAGTTTTAGATACATCATTTTTTTATTCATTTTGATGACAAGTATTTTCGGACGGAGGGAGTATCTAACTGGGTTTATGGGGCGGGATTGGGGGAGGAGGGGGGTCTCCTTCCATTTTCCGGATGATCTTAAATACATACACCACAGCACCAGAAAATTGGACGTTAATTAATGATTCGAAATTAATACTAGCTGGAGTATATTTGATGTGTTATCATCTCATAATTGTGTAGTATCAACATATTCTTGAACAAAAATCTTGAAGTAATGACAATATCAAAGTGATGAAATCAAGTGAGGTGAAATAGGTCGTCTTCTTTTGCGGTCAAAAGCACAAAAATGCTAGACCTAAGGGTAAAGCCTATGGAGGAATGCTATGTCCCGTAAGCATTTCTGTAAAAAGGAAAAACCTCACTTGATGAACAAAAAGATAGGAAAACTTTGAATGAACAGGTAGATGGACGCTCTGGCGACTGGCGACGCCCCCGACGGCACGGGCGCCGTGGCCGCCCGGCCGCCC